CTTTGACAACCTTGAAACGGACTCCAGGAATGTCACCCACAGCGTGACCCTTGCGACCAAAACCAGCCACCAGGACTTCATCGTTTTCCTGGAATTATCAAGTCATTCAAAAAAAAAAAAAAAAAGTTGTATTTAATTCAAATAACAGCTCAAGTTTAGGACTACATTAAAGTGCTGCTTTCATAAGTTTACATGCCCATGTACAACTGAGGCATTTGCCGAAGAAGTTGGCTTGAAAATTCAAGCTCAGTGATTTCACTGTCCTCCTTGCTAAGCGGGAAATCAGCTTTCATCTGAGTGCGGCTCGTCCCTCCCCCCCGAGGGCGTAGGGCCAAAAACATAACTACTGAGCACCCTTACACTGGAGCAGTTACTAGTGCTGATTGTAGATGCAAGCCGCTCACCTCAATGAAGTTCAGGCAACCATCGTTGGGCACAAAAGCTGTTATTTTTTTGCCGTTCTTAATCAGCTGGACTCGGACACATTTCCTGATTGCAGAATTGGGCTGCTTAGCTTCTACGCCGCTGAAATTACAAAGGAATTGCTTTAAAATCATTAATATACTGTTTTACAAAGCAGTAAGAAACTTGGAGAGGCTCATTTGACATAGCATTAAAACCCGAGCACCACTCTCTCTACTGCTGAATGTCAGAATGGTTCCTAATGTGCCCTCTCCCCACTGAAACTCTCCCAAACAATTCTCCAGATTCTCCCAGACAACTCCTGGCTCTAGCTTGGGAGTCAAAAGCCTCAGCTTGGGAGTCCAAAGTGCCTGCACTAGGTGCCCCTTGGCAGGGAGAGTTTCCTTGGCTGTTCCCTGCCAGCGGGTCTCGGTGTCAGGAGTTTCCCCGGGCGGTTTATTACTCTGCGAACGCTGCCTGCACGCACTGGTCACCTCAGCCTCCACTCACGCTCGCAATAAAAAGGCTGAGGATGGAAGCTTGAACCATTTTGGATTTCTGGCATTATCTAGGGTAGGTGCATAGCAGTAAAATAAATACTTCTGTGGGGAGGCTGCCACCCATCCAGTGGCAGCTGCGTAAAAATTTTTTTCCCTCTGGAGAACTGCAGCACCGGCACATAACTATTCTGCATTTAAAACATCTCAGCCCACTTGGGAGGTAAGTCCACCAGCCTGCTCCGGTATCCCACTGTTTATCTCAGAATTCCCGATCTGCTCCCACTGATGCCGTCGGCGGGGCGGGCGGCACTTACACCTTCTCGAGGACGATACCCTTGGCGTGCGAGGCGCCGCCGAACGGGTTGGCCTTGAGCGCCGTGCCCAGGTGCGCCTTCTTGTACTGCTTGTCGTGCCACTTCTGGTCGCG